TAGCAAAGGGGGAATTTATGTTTTGTAAGAGATTAGAAATATGAGTTTCTGGATCTGGTGACAAGAATATCGTCAACATAAACAAAGATGTAAGTCACAAAGTCATCCTTAGTGTAGATAAAGAGCGACGAGTCTGATTTGGAGCTATGGAAACCCGTAGAGAGAAGAAATTGATGAAGTTTGGAGTACCAGGCCCCAGGCCATATAGGGATTTATATGGACGACAGACGTGAGTTGGGTGTGGAGAGTCAACAAACCCCGGGGGGCTGTGCCATGAATGAAAACAGGTTTAGGTTTAATTTGTTTCACACACTTTGATTGATTCTTAGATTTGTATTTATAATTAGTTACATATGTACAAATGATGGAGAGTCTTCATGAAGAGGAACTCTCTCTTGGACAAGATACAATAAATGATTAAGATATAAAGAGATAAGGATAAACATAAATTGAAATTTAAACTTGAAGTAGATGTTGCCGTGTATCATGTGATAGGATGCTCAACAAAATTTAAGGATAGCAGCAGAAACTACATCTACATTAGCATACTTGCATTCTTCAGCCTCTCTTCCAATCATTCATAGCATGGTTTTTGAACCACTGTTGACTCAGATGGTCGAACTGTCGGAGAAGAAACCGGTGGCCAAAATGGTTCCATTTTTTGATCATTTTTCAAAACCATGATTCATAGAGATGTTAAATCTGCCAGCATACTTTTGGGTGATAACTAAATGGCAAAGGTGTCAGATTTTGGAGTTTCAAGATTGGTTCCTCTGGATCAAATTCAACTATGTATGTGTTTGGAGCCATGGACATTATTGATTAAATGTTTTGTACTTGATTTGTTTGGAAAACCAAGAAAATCAATGATGGACCCATTTATTGGCATTTAGGTACTACATCAGCAAAACATTGATTAAATGCCTATCCACCGGGGGAAGCACTGAAATGAAGCTTTCCTCAATGGTAGGCATGCACATAAACTGAAGTCTACTTTTGCAAGTTCCTATGCGTACAGATTCATATAATAGGGAAAATGGTAAAATGGTGCCTATGTGGCATCGTTTATTTAATAAACGCCCACAGATCCAAACACACTCTATATTGTTATAGGGAACATTGGGTTATTTGGACCTAGAATATTTTCATACAAGTCAATTGACAGAGAAGAGTGATGTTTATAGCTTTGGTATTTTTCTTGTGGAACTACTGACGGGAAGAAAAGCACTTGAATTTGACAGACCTGAAAAGGAGAAGAATCTAGCTATCCATTTTATTACTTCAATGAAAGAAGAAAATATTTTAGAGATTTTAGAGGATAAAATGCTACAAGAAACTAGTAAGGATCATCTTCAAGAAGTCACTAAGCTTGCAAAGAGATGTCTAAGTGTGGAGGGAGAAGAGAGGCCCACAATGATGGAAGTGGCAATGGAGCTAGAGGGTTTAGGAGATACATCAAACACCCATGGGTAGAACATAATCATGAAGAAGCTAAGTATTTGCTTGGTGAGCCATCACATTTACAAAGTTGCAAAACTGGTGAATATGATAGTTTAAGGAATCATGTTTTGATACCATTAGGCAGTGGGCGCTGAATGCTTCACATGCATATCAACTTCATATAATCTTCTTTCTTGTTCAGCTTTCCCAAACAATTTCTGCTCTGTTGTATTGTGTATTCTAGTTATATATATGTTCTTCTCTGTTCAAATTTCTAAAATGTCAAATTGTTAATTTGAGAGAAAGAAGAGAAATGATGCTTCTAATTTAATAATGTATGCTCCATTTAATCACTATATCGAGTAGCACATATATTTGTATTAGTATTTCTTCATATACTGTATCAATGAGATGGAACAAGAAAGGGTAGTGAATACCAGACTAATAAAAGAAGTTTACCATGAACAATAAAAGAATCTCTGTCAATACTTTGTCAATTGGCTGATTCCAAGAGAAAGATTGATGAATGCCAAATTAAGAAAGGAAGCTCAATGTAAACAAGAAAAATAGTCCCCGTGAAACTGTGGATCCAGTTTCACGTTCATTTCTGCTCAAACCTTCATACAAGAATATTTCTTGCTCACGGTTAAATTTTTCTTTTAATTTAATGTAGACCACCCTTTGATGTAAAAGTGTTTTCGTAAAATTTAAAAGAAATGAAGGACAAAATAGTCACAAATGTTTATTTAAGTACCTATTAAAGAAAAAAAGATTATAAAAAATAAGCACTTAAAAATGTTGGATGCTAAATGTAAAGAAGTACTTATTAATATAAGCACTTGTTTTTAAGTACATATTCAATAAAGACTTATTGAATGGCCTAAAAAACACACAAACAATGTTCTCAAACCTGGATGGTTTAACTAGAGAATCATTAGGCTTTTCAGAATTCAGATTATGGTTTATTTGACAATTCTCATAGGTTAACCAATCAAACTAACTAGTCATTTACATAGATATTAAATCTGCTCATATATTCTTGCTGGATAGTTGGATGAGACTTACGTGGAAAAAGTGGAAGATTATGGGGTCTTCAAGATTGGTTCCATTAAATCAGACTCGGTGAACTACATTAGTGCAGGGGGCATTGGGTTACATGGACTATAAATATTTTCGACAAGAAATTAAAAGTGATGTTTATATTGGTATAGTTCTATTAGAAGAATTAACTAGAAGAAAAGTACTGGAAATTCATAAACCCAAAAAAAAATGAAAAAGAAAAAGAAAAAAGAATGAGACAATGTCTCAGAAATTTTGGGGGATAGAGATAAATGTAGCAAAGATCAACTCTATGGCAAGACATCAACTTTTCATTATTACAACACTATTGGCTATGATAATTTGGAACATGTTAACACAAACCTTTTAGGCAAGCCAAACCCAATCCCCAACACACGAAATATACAACCTTAACCTTAGGCACTAATGTAGTTCACCGAGTCTGATTTAATGGAACCAATAAATTCTACACCTTATAATCCACCCAACATCATCTTATAAAACGAAAACAGAGCACATCACCCTGCTACACAGCTCCATTCCTTCCTTGGTTCCCCCTCGTCCGGCCTCTAGAGAGACCAATTTCCCCTTGGTTTCCACATCAATACCGTATCTCATGTCTACCAAAAAATGAAAAAGTAAAGAAAAACAAACAAAATACTGTATAGTGCCGATAGTTAGCTTCTTGGGATTTCTTTGTCAGACTGGGCTGCAAGGGTCAGGTCCATGCCCACTTAGTTGTATATATATTGGTGTTATCTTTTATTTATAAATAAAATGAGGTAAGAGGATATGGGCTTCATTAAAATATTCTAAAGAGGCCAACTGAGTCTAAACCTTCCACACGTCATCACTCATCACATGTGGGTTTGTATCACTGTATCTATTATACTAGACACCGATTTTGTCCATTCGTGATTGGTTACAGAAGCTGTTATACACGTCTGTATTTGCAGATCAGATTTCCAGCCCACTATTCTCTGCTAACATAAAATACGCCTTGAATTGTAATCACACATTGCCATCTTGTATTATGAGATATATAATGTACTGTGGGTAAAGTGCAGATATAGAGAAAATGAGTAGCAAACTGTATTTGTAGTAAATTCCAACTTTTTTTTTTTTCATTTGAAAGAAGCCTGTAAGCAATACATTCAATGGCTCAGAAAGAATCAGCTACAGTATACAGAAGATTCAAGGAAATCAGGAACTTGGGACCATGTGTGAAGACGGTTTAATGTAATATCAGATTTGACAAGTGTATATGCCACAAAATTCGCTGATCTGGGAATATATCTGACTGAGAAACTCGGCAGGTGATTCAGAGAACTTCTGCAATCAACAATCACGGTATGAAGATGCCACAGTGGTTCAGAGTGTACCACCAACAGAAGATTAGTAATATATTCTTAGATTGATTCCAAATCAAACCTGGTTAATTGACATCTGTATTCTTATCTTCTATCAATGGACCAGATATTGGTTCAATCAAATCCAATCCAGTATAAATGCATCACAGATGAATCAGATTAAATCCAATCTAATAATTACTTTGCTGGACGGCTGGACCATTAAGTCTAGACAGGTTCAATTAATTCAATATGTCTAATTATTGATTCATCCAATTTGTCCAAATTAATTTTTAATTAGATGGAGTTCAACCCAAAACGGGTCCATTGACACCCATACATTCTCTTTCCAGTATGGTATTAAGGCTGTGTAGACCATATCAGTCCACATCTGAATAGACTTTTCTCAAGTATATAAAAAAATAAAATAATAAGAATTGGTAAACTTAATTATATCCATTTTATTAATTAGAATCTCTAGCTGAATATTGTATGTATCCTGAAACATAATTCTAAATATCAAATCAGAACATTCAAGAAACTATGTTTTTAGTTTCAGTTTTGAAAATAGAAAATAGTAACATTAATAATTAGAAAGCTGAAGAAGTGAAAGTTATTGGGTAAACCATATTTTTTTAGTACTGAAGGTACCAACTAGCTATCAGATAAAATCTCTATCTGGTTGTAGAGTGGCTTATTTCTGTTGCAAAAAGAAGCAATAAACACTTTATTTAGTTCTAAAAACATATTTGAATGACACATTTTTATATACGTATCCTTTTCTCTAGAAAGTAGAAAAATGAACTTTCAAAAGCGAAGCCATGACCCATGATTTTATCTATCAGGATGCCGATGTAGCAAATTTAGATGCACAAGATTGGAAAAGCTAACCTTTTAGATTTTCTCTTGAGAAAAAAAAAAATACAGTTTTTTAAAAAAGAAATATGTAAACCAGTTTTCTCAAAACTAAGAAACTATCCTGCACAAACCACTCCCTCCCCCTTACCAGTTACAGGTAAATTTKAAAGGAAAGGGTGATGCTGCAGAAATGGTCAAGGTCAGAATCAAGAATTAATTACAAATGAAATGTTATTTTCTTTGAAAGAATCAAATGATACAAAAGTCAAGACGAAGAATAAACTAATAATACAGGTCTATCAAGCCTGCTCTATTAATGAGATACCCATATCGACCAGACGTTCTAAGACACCAAACCAACGCTATCATCACTCATCAGGAACGATGATGGCTTTGGTTATGCTGATGATTCAACTCATTTTGTTGCGGCCAGCAATGGCGTCAATCCCAAGCTGCTAAGGTTTGTATTGTGCCCACCCAAGTCGAACACCTTTCGGAGATGAAGGATTAGTGAAATGATAGAAATGAAAGGATAATGTACTAATTCTCTGGGCTAGCTAGCCTAGCTTCCAACTTCTTTTCTCTTGTACCACAAGAAGACTACAGAAGTACCATATTTCATTCTCCCCCTTCATCCTTCCATCCTCACCTTACAATGAATAATCAGTCCAAATTTCTTAAATAAAATTTACTAAGGGTCCATTTGGTTCAAAGGAATAGGGGTTTGGAGTCAGAATTGGACCATCCATTTGGTTGGATGAAATTGGAATCTCATTTTCATTCTGGTGGAAAGACATTTTTCGAGGGAATGGTCATTCCCCTTCCCTTCCTTTGGGAATGAGAATCCCATTCCAGCCAATTCCAATTCCTTTATGTACCGAACAGGTGGGGGGATAGACCATTCCAATTTTGATTTCAATTCCATCTGCTAACCAAATGGACCTTCCTGTTCAATTTTGAGCAAGAATGAAGAAGAATGGATAACATAAAAGTATTTGGCTACAAAACTCTTGCCATGAGCCTCCGTCCTATTAGAATGACAAAATGAGTGCATGGCACAAAAATTAAAATTACTCACAACATGAAAAATAATCATGCCAAATGTCTCTCAGTAGACATTGACTGCTAGCCATAGATCTAGACTGGTTCAACTTTGTACAATACTATCTACTACGCAGCTGGTGCAAAAGGAGTGGGTTGTGCTCAACGGCGGATCTATCTTCTCTTGATTATTACCCTTACCCTCTCAATAATCTATATCTGGATCCCAACTTGCCGACCTCTATGTAGGCCGTAGTCCGAAGGTTACGTTCCTTTGAAAAATGTTAGGGGCAGGGAATAAGGAGGTCGAGGCAGGGTCTTCAGTTTTCACTCGGCTCTGTCCATGTCTTGTGGCCTGGTGGGTTTTCTTTTTAATTTGTGCTTGTGGGTTCAGGTGTTGGGCTTTTCTCGGTCCTGAGGAGTGGTCTGAGTCGTTGAGGTCGGCTTTTGTTTGTTTTGGTTGGGTTGTCCTTTTCGATTTTTGTGTGGGTTAGGTCCGGTTGCTCGTTGTTGTTTTGAGCTGGACTGCTTTGTATATTCCTTTCTTTTCTTCTTTTAATAAATTCTTTTTTGTTTTGTGCAATAAATTGTGTTTGATGTGGAAAAAAAGAAGTAATAAAACAAAAAGTAAACGGATATTAATTAGGTCTAGAGGAGG